GTCTCAGTCCGTTTTCTGTGGCTGACATAAAATGCCCGAACCTGAGTACTAATAGAAGAATTGAAGTTTATTTGACTCCTGGAAACTGGGAAAGCCCAGAGCATAGTTCAGGGACTAGGTGAAGTTTCACTGCATCTAATACAGCAGAGGGTGTCAATGACGGGACGTGGCTACTAGCTCAGTGCTTTCCTTATAAAGCCATCATCGGTGTCCCTCCCTTACAGTCTTGTCTAATATTAACTACTTCCAAAGGCCCTGAACTCCAAACAGCAAGAACAAATGCATTTGTGAATTACAGTTCCACAAAGAGAAAGTATAGATGTTCCCTTTGCTTCCACTACTTCCAAGGTTCAGACCTTGCTTTTGTTTTTCTTTGCAACATTATCTCATTCCCCCTAGAAATCTCTACTTTCTATTTGCACATACAAGCTAAAATGTAAAAATCCTGACTAGTGTAGTCCAGTTTTGGAAAAGAAGGCTGGGCTCCAATCACTGCCTAGCATAGTTATGCCCAGGCACCTGTTGGCTCCTTGTGAGCACTGGTGTATGCGTCTCCATGTTTCTTCATTAGTCCCAACTCTACTTAGGGTTAAAGAAAGTACTTTTGAGCCACTGAGTTTGTAATTTGGCCAGATGTGCCTTTAATTAACTCGAAAAGCTACACAAACACACACACACACACTCATACACATAGACACAAGCACACACATGCAGACACAGATGTGCACACACACCTCCATTTACCCTGATAGGAACAAAATGTACTTGAAAGAGGAATTGAATTCAGCTCAGAAAATAAGATGTAACCAATAAATGAAGCTTGAATAAGAATCTAGCATTTAATTGTGCTTAATTATCACTGTGGAAATTACTGTTTATAATATTGTCATTTAAAACAGGATATTTTCAGAAGTGACATTTTGATTAGGATAATTTTCTGCTTTTGACATAGTGCATTTTTTGTCATTATTTGACTTCGTGGCTATCAAGCCAGCAAAATTATTGATGGAGTTTCTAGATTGGATGAATGCCCCAAATGCTTTGATATACTAGCTAGGGTTTAGTGAATGCATCTATGTTTCATTGATATAATAAACCATTTTATGTCACAATAACTGAATTCACTCATACAAGTTGGCAAATGGGTATACATATGGCAATGTTGAGCTCAGCGAATATTTTATGTGTGCAATTTGGAAAGACATTCAAGATTGAATTTCAGGCTGTGTTGTACTCAGTCTGAGACAATTAAGAGACCCTCAGAAGATTGTTTTGGGAAACATACACTTCCTGTGTGGTCAATTACACATTGAGGCTATATGCTGGTAGTCAGAATTAATAAATGTTGCAAATAAATGTAAGTGGAGTTTGGGGTAGGGAGAAGAGAGAAACTAAAAGGAAAGAAAGCTAGTATGACCAATAGTGTCAATAAAAGAAGGCTTGGAGATGACAGAATTACAATGTTGGATATTAGCGACCGTAGTCTGTACTTTTTATTTGTTGGACATTCTGGTTAGCGATACATAAAGCCTGTGGTTTTAAAGTGAATTAAAAGTTTGTTAAAAACAAAAATTGGGAAGAAAATAAAATGCAAGAGTTTGAGGGAGAAGGAGCGAGAAAGTATGGCTATCTTAAAGTTTTATCTATGAAATACGTGAAATATGCTCTCCTTATAGTAATATAAATTCTAAAGAATTTAACTATTAGAGACAGCATGGTAGCATTACACACTAATCCTCTGCCTGTGGTGACAAAATTCCATATGGGCATTGATTCATGTCCCAGCTGCTCCAATTCTGGTTCAGCTCCTAGCTTATGACTGGGAAAGCAACAGAGGATGGCTTAAGTTCTTGGGCACCTTCACCCACATGGGAGACCTTGAAGAAAGCTGACTCCCAGCTTTGGACTGGCTCAGCAATGTCTGTAGTATTTGGGGAGTGAACCAGAAAATTTAGGATCTCTCTGCCTCTCCCACTCTCTGTAATTTTGTCTTTCAAATAAAGTAAGCAATTTTTTTTTAAGTTAAGAAGTATATTAGAGAAACAAAGCATGAAGTATTTCAGTTATTTAGGAGAAGAGAGCTGAATGAAACAGGGTTTCAGTATCCTTTGTGATTATTTTAATATGTGCAAATAGATGCTAGACGATATTAACTATTTTATTGTTCTGAAAAGGAAAGACTGGTAATTCTTAACTAAGATGGGATGCAATAACTTTTCACGAATTTGAATTCAAAATTTCTCAGCGTGTCCAAAGAGCCTTTGAGTTAAACATAGGTGGTTCTATGTAACCCATCAAATACCTAACTACAAGTCAGTGCTGTATTGCTAGGTTTGTAAATGTTGCCTTTTGTCTATTTTATCATCACTGGTAGACTTCCATCTTTGTGTGCTATTTTTAAAATGGCAAGGCAGTTAAAAAAGGCACATTAGAAAGAGAGAGAGAGAGAGAGAAGAAGGGGAGGCATCTTCTACAACAGTCAGGCTGCAGCCAGTAAGAGTAAATAGTCATCCTTAGCATTAATTCATTTAGTAACCACTGTACCCCATAATTACATACAATTATAATTATTTGAATGTTAAGCTAAATGAACAGTAAATATGAGGAATCTTCAGAAAGTTCATGGAACATATTTTGAAGAAAGTATATATATACAAAAATTTTTGGTAACAAAACAGAATTATCTTTTCTTGAACTTTTTAAAGTATCCTTGTACATGGGCAAGAAAGTTCAATCATACCATATAACTGCTTTGCATCCTTGAAAATTTCAATTAAGATCATATTTCACACAAAATTATTGATAACTCACTTTATACAGGCATTCCATTTTGTACATTAATTATAGCACTCTTAACTCATCATTTTATTGGATGTTTGTAAATTTTCATGTTTGCATTGATAATGATGGCTGTGGTGAATACATGTACACATGATTAATTTCAATGGTTGATTTTTGTCGACCAACTGCTGTACAGAAAAGATGTATACAGTTTCTGGTTTTTGCATTTATTACTAAATAACTTTCTAGAAGGACTTTCGTAACTTATTATTTCAGTAATGACATAGATTACCCTTGGTCCATAACATGGTCTCTATTTCCTCAACTATAAAAACAGGAATAATGATAGTATTTCAAATTTCAAATTTTTGATTTCAGAAAGATTTGTTTGTTTTAAAATTCAGAGTTAAAGAGAGGGATACATAAAGAGTGATCATAAGTCCACTGATTCACTCAATAATTACTGCAACATCTAGGAACCAGAAACCGCATCTCTCATCTCTCACCTGGATGTCAGGGTCCACGTTCTGTGGTTGGACCATGTTCTGTTATTCTCTGGCACTGGTAGGAGATTTCTTTCTTTTCAGCACCTTTAGCTAGAGGGCAACTAGCAAAGAAGGTCACTACAAGAAAAGGTCTTTGAGATTGTGAAATCCAACATTTACCTGGGAAGGTCTAGAGTAACTCTGGATATTGCACATGCCTGAGTACATGGGGAAAAATGCAAAACCTACCTCTTGTAGAATGTACACCTGACAGAATGCCAGGTTTTCCTTGCTAAGAAGATTCACAGCTATCTCATTTGCCAGCAGTAGTTCCCATTATTTTTGGATGAAACTACATTGGATTTTTACGGTTCCTTAGGGACATTGGTAGGGGCAATGGGAACCGCATGTGATGGCCTTGCTTGACATAATCTGAGATGAACAAATGTATTATTCACACAAGCAAGGTTTACTTTTGTAACTGAAGGACCTCTCTGTTCATAGATGGAGCTCAAATGAGCATTGCCAGTGTTTGCCTTTTGACTCAACCTTCGATGCTACTGAAGTTCATTATCTACATCCTAGCTGGTGGATTTTTCTTTTTAGACTTGTTAAGCACAATGAAACATACTTAAAATTACTTTTTAGATCACTTTTTATATTTGTTTTCAACAATTCAAGGTAATTTTAGGCTTTTGCTTATAGGTTTATCTATTTTCCCATTTGTGAATTTTTGAAAGTGTCACATCTAAAAATGATTCAATTTAATGCTTTTTTAAAAAAGGATGGTAGCAACTTTATTCAAGGATAAGATCAAGCTTAGAATTACTTTAAAGTTTTTCCAAAACAAAATTCTTCAAGTGCTCACAATTAACACATTAAACAATCTGATTTTATTAATTGATTGATTTTCAGTGGACACATACTTGAGTAAGATCACAGATTGAATTACAAGTCAGAAGAGACTGCTCCCAGACTCCTCAAATGGAAAAAGGCTGGGAGTACAAATACTAATGCAATTCCACTTTTTCTTCAGTCATAATTCTGTAACTGCCTTATACCTCTAATGAGTCCAGATTCACTTGATGTAGGATACTAGGAGCAAGTAGAAATACCTGGATATATAAAGGGAAGAAGCAATACATTTCCTGATGATGTAGAACTTTGGGGCCAGCCTCCATTTTACACACATGAACTGAAGACTCAAGCATTCTAGCAAGACCTCTAATTACAGTCTGATGAAGGCATGATGAGTGACATTTAGCACTTTACAAAGCATGTTTTTTTCAGCTTTGTGGATAGAGTAGTACATGTTGCTTTTAAATATTTCTAACATTTATTGTTCAAGTCAACTTACATGCTATCAATTTCATTCCGATTTCATAGTCATTGTTTTTCAAGTTTACCAAATGTTGATATTTCTTTTTGTATTATTACATCCGAATCTACTTATCTGAAGTAGGAAAAAAAAGCTTATTCTCAAGTTTCCAAGTAAAAGTATTTCCAGGTTATTGAGAAATATTTTCAGGTTATTCCAATGTAATTTTGTTCACATGCCAAGATGATATATTAATAAGTGACATGAAACAATACACTATTTTTAAAGATAAAGGGAATTCTATTACATTACATTTAGATACACAGACTACAAGTATACCTTTTCTAGGTTATTTCATCAAGTTACTTACAATGTACACATTCCTGAGTTTACTCATTGCAGCAGCACTGTTTATTTTGGAATTTTTCTGCATTCAGCTTAAAAGGTATTTGTTACTGAGAAACTGAACTTTTCTGTCAAGTGCACTTGAGCGAATAAGAGAATTGGGCTCATAAAATGGGTTCATCACAAACTTTATATATAAATCATAGATATCAGTAAAGAAGTTCTTGAGTTCATCTTCTTGCCTTATATCATGAACTATAATAAATCTCATATGTCCTGCAGTGACAAAGGTCAACACAAACCACTTGTTGAACTTGTCCACAGTATTCAAGTACATGTTGTTCGACAGCCACATGTTCTCATCCACCAGATCCAGGGCTGCATGTGCTATGAACTGGTTCGTATGGCTATGAACATCTTTGGATCCTGCTTTCCCAGCTGGCAAAAACTCCATTTCAAAACCTGGATTATCATGGTGGCCAACAATTACAAAGTAGAAGCTTCCAGACATTGTCTTCAATGTACAGCTTCAACAGCGCTGGGCAAATGTTAACCCTTTTTCTTGTTTCTCACAGTTGAGATATTCTTCTTGTCTATGACAGGTTTCATTCCAAGCCTATAGCAAGGTGCAGACAATGCAAGAGCTCAGCCAGCCCTTGCTGCATTATTGGGTCCTGCTCTTAGGCAGGGACTCTGGAGCTGTCCTCACCCCTTTGAAAGCTTCTAATTATGTCGTTCCTTCTTAGAAATCATACCTGTTTGCACATGAGAAATTTTAAGCTTGTTGAGTTATATAATTTGTGCACAGAATATTATACTTAAGTGGATGAATAGCTATGAGCATAAGTTTGAGTCTTGATCTCAGAGCATGCTATTGAACATTGTACTGTTTTGCTCTCTATCTTACATTCTACACTGTACATTCATCAGCCACATATGGCTATTTAAATTGAATTAAGTTAAATAGATTAAAGTTGTATTCTTTAGCCTTAGCAGATGCATTTCAAAAACTGAATAGTAATGTGACTGCTAGATTGGACACAGTGAATCTAGAGTACTGCCATCACTGTAGAATGTTTTACTGCTGAATGCCACAGATGCTTGGCTTCAGAGGCATTCTTGTCTCCCATTCTCCCTGGCTCCCAGCAATTCCACCTCGTGAGATACTGCTTTGCCTGGGTCCCAGTGACATCATCCTTTCCCAGCTCCAGCCTCTTTAGACCATTTCATTGTGGTTTGTTCCATCTCTACCTGCTCTTTAAATATTGAAAATTTCTAAGGCTCAGTTCTGGATCCTATCCCTTTTACAATGCATGCTTTCTTTTTGTAAAGCTCTTGCACTTTTATGGACTCAAAAAGTCTTTCTATCTGATGCCATTTCTGAATTTTATACTGGCATTCTGTAGCCTATTTTCTGATCCTGTATGATTCCTTGTCAGGTGGATTTATTTCAAGCTCTTCCTGGATGAGAGGGAGCATAGCAGATAAGAACTGGAAGTTGAGAGGATGACTCCAATGATTGGAGGTAGAGAACCCTCAGCTCTTTTGGCCTGGACATTGGGTCTGGATAAATAGGAGGCTATTTGTTGTAGCATGATGTTAAAGACATAATTAGGCTGGGCCTTAGGAAATATTTAACACTGACAAGGTACAGATTTCAGGTCCAGGTCACTATTGAAGGTGAAGTTATTGGCCATTTCTATGAATGTATTCATATTTTTATGTCACTAGTCTTTAGCAAAGCTTTTATTGGGAATTCTCATTATTTTGTTAGTTATATAGCAATACTGTTAAAGAGGAAGTTCTTTGCTTGACATTGGGCCAGCACGTAACCATGGAATTATGTCCTCCATCCATTAGTCCCCTACCTCAATCCCTGCTTCAATCCCATGCCACGGTGACTGATTTCATTAACTTCTTAGAGATTTCTATCTTATTATTATTATCATTTAGTCACTTATTCCATCATGAAATTTTCCTTCCAGTGTTAGTGGTGAAATTTCTAGCTTTTATGTGATTATATATATGTATATATACATGCATATATATATATATATATATATATATATATATACCCTTCAAATGTTTTTGCTAGAAAGAAGTATATTTGTGTCCAGAATATTTCTCCAGTGTTTCTTGTGTAATAGGAGTATATTCATGCACATACACAATGTGAGAACAGCAAATGTGCTTCTGAGTTATCATGTCTTGATTTAAACTTTGAGCTATTGAGGGTGTGACAGCGCACCCTTCTGGAAAAACCAAAATAGAAAAACCTTCCCCTCCCCCTCCTCTGTCCATCCTTGTCCTTTAACTTCTGTTGCAAATTGCTCATATCTTTTTTATTGTCACTGACATCATCCCCATGAGCATCTTGCACCCATTTGCCTGGGAGATGATCCTGGCACTGAAAGAAGCATTTGAATCAAAGAATGCATGTTTGTAGAAGTAACCAGTCTAGGTGAGGTTGTGTAGCTTCTGCAGCAGTTGGAAAGAGGAATATTTCTGCTCCAATCAAACAAGAATTACAAGGCATTAAGATACACATTGGTGTTTTTCAAGTTGTCTGCATTTCAATTATACATCCTATTTTGAAGGAGATACCTAATGATGCAGTTCCTTCTCAACAGGCATAATAGCAAGAGAGGTTTTTGCTGTAAAATGCTTTAGAGATGAAAATTTGGGTTACTCCAATGTGATCTTTGTAACTATCATTTTAGAATTTTGCCTGCTTCCTGCATCAATATCAGTTTATAGTACTTAGCCTTTTTCTTTGACATTCTAAAAGGCTTTTTATTTATAATGGGAGAAAATATCTACAGATCAAATAATGGACTAATGGAACATGAATTTAATACTTGTTGCCAGTTTACTGTTCAAGGTATGAACACGTTTTTATTTATATCAATTCTAGGTGTGCTGCCTGGCCCACCCACATGTTTTGAAGGAAGGCATTCTCTGTAATATAAAGATGGCCTCTGCTTCTGGCTCTATGCTTTGGTTGCTATTCTATTGCTTTACTATTAACCAAAAGAAGAAAGGATTAATTGTTTTATGGTAAAATTCTAGGGTGCATGATTAACTATGGCTTAGCAGCAAAAATTATATATTTGGGATGATAAAGTTGCTTGATAGAAGCCACTAGTTCTGAAGCTTACATGACAGAATTACAATCTGTCCTTTTCTATTGTTGGTCACCATGAGATTAATGGGCTGAAATTAATCATTTAAATATATGGATGTACTTTAATTCATTTGTTATGTGTAGACATAATTATTATTCACATTCAGTCAAAAATATCGTTCTTTCTTCCCCATCTCTTTCTCTCCGTATTTTGAAAGATTGTAAATGTAAGTTCTAATAATAACATGTTAGGACAAAGCTCATAATGGGAACAGATGGTGAAGTTATAACAGATGCCATGAGAGAGTAGTAGAATTCAACCTTTATTTTACTGGCATATTTTCTATCAAAGAGGATCATCCTTTAAAAAATACAAAGTAGAGCATACCTGATTAAGAAGAAATTGAAAACCAATAAATAGGAAACATTGCAATAAGCGTTTACCAATTTGTAAATCTGAACAGTATGAATTGAAGTCTCAGCTCTATTGTGTATACTCACTAACCGATAAGCCAACCCCTAATCCTAATTACTGCATGCAGGCAAATTTTCAAGTAGCAGGTATTATTTGATTCTTTATTTGATACCATTATATGGCAATTTTGTTAACGTTGTGGTAATGACATGGAGATACAGAACAGGTAAGTGAATTGTCCAAGGTCACACATTAACCAAGTGGGGTAACAGATTAGGACTCACAGATACTTTCATACCAGCCAAACTGGTTGCTTGGGAAGCTAGCTGATAACTCAGTGATGGCGTCTCTGCCCTCCAGGTGGGATACCTGAGGGGAATTTTTAAAAAAATTTTTTTTAAAGATTTATTTTTATTATTTTTTTATTGGAAAGGCAGATATACAGAGAGGAGAGACAGAGAGGAAGATCTTCCGTCCGATGAGTCACTCCCCAAGTGAGCGCAATGGCCTATGCTATGCTGGTCCGAAGCCGGGAGCCTCCTCCGGGTCTCCCACATGGGTGCAGGGTCCCAAAGCTTTGGGCCGTCCTCGACTGCTTTCCCGGGCCACAGGCCGGGAGCTGGAAAGGAAGCGGGGCTGTCGGGATTAGAACCAGCACCCATATGGGATCCCGGGTGTGCAAGGCGAGGACCTTAACCACTTGCGCCACCACGCCGGGCCCGACTCTATATTTTTTGATTGCTGTCTTTGTCCAGTTCCAGCCCTGCTTGGGAAGGAGGTTTTTCTGATTGCTTCTGTCTCTGGTCTCTGTGTATTTTTTCTCTTTGTCTCTCTGCCTCTCGCCATACACATGTATACACACACACACACACACACACACACACACACACACACACACACACACACACACACACACACAGAAGCCAGTGAGACTTTGCAAGAAACATCATTCATTCCACATTAGCCCTTTTTTAAACAGAAAAATTTGGCTCCCAGGTAAGATCCATGGAGGTGACAAAGCTTATCTGAGATTTTTCCCATACAATTGTAAAAGGCTTTCCTATGCAACAAGACGGATAGACAGATGATGGAAAGATGTGCAATGAGTGATAGTGCAGACACGATGGTTTATTGAATCACTCTGCTCATGAGGATAGATTGTTGTTTGTTGCAAGCCTGCAGTACTGTCCCCAGGGACTTGCCAGTGCCAGAACATGTCGGGTTCAATATTCTTACCCAAGACTTCGCTGATGAAAGGCAAGGGTCATTTTTTTATACATTAAAAATAGAATATGAACTTAAATAATATGAAACTTCATAGGGATAAATATTAGGTTCAGAATTGAATCTATAAGAGTTTATATGCAATTTTCACTACCCGAAGACTGGGTTCATGAGAAATGTTTGAACTATTTAGCAATGCAGATTTAAGAAAAAAACTTAAGAAGAAAAGGGTATATCACACAAATCTTAAAATGTATAAAAGTTTGTTTTTTGAAAATGCATTTGTTCTTTATATGTTCAGGAGGCAAAGTTAGAAGTGTAGGTAAAAGTGGCATAAGACCTTGCTGATAATATCAATTGTTTAGAAAGCAAATGGGTGGTTGTTTTGTCTTCTCTGAGCTCCCTGTGTCTATGACATAACAGCCTGGCATCAGGTAACTGCCAATTCTATTTCTAGTAAGGGAATCCCCTTACTTCTTGTCAAAATACCTCCTAGCAGTAGATCTTCTGCAAATTGTGATGCATCCAAGATGTTGCTGTAGCACAGCACTGTTGATATTTTTGGACCAGGTAAGTCTTTGTTGTGGGAGTGGTTGCACACACTTTGGAGTGTTGCTGGTTTTTCACCCTGTAGAGGCCAGCAGGATCCACCAACTTTATCTCTACTGTGCCCCAAGGATCCTATCATCACAGGTTGATAAATACCACCTAAGACATTGAGATTCTTGTTAAAATGCAAAGATTAGTAGGGAATATATTAAACAGGTCATAGTA